CGCCGCTGCCCGAGCAAAATTCCGTCATAGCACACTGTATGGCGTATGCCCATCTTCATTAGCCCAGGTTAGGAGCAGAAGAGTAGGACGTTTAACCCCATTTCATTTCATTTCATTTTACATAATACTATATATAGTGTTCTAATTTGCTCCATACCATATATATTGTTCTACTTTACTCAATACTATATATAGTTTTCTATTTTATAGTGATCTACTTTAGTCGGTACCATATATAGTGTTCTATTTTACTTAATACCATATATGGTGTTTTGTTTTACTTAATACCATATATAGTGTTCTATTTTACGTAATACCATTTTTATTTTATAGTGATAAAGCCATGTTTTTCTTTTTTATTTAAGAATTTCAGTATTTGATTTAAAGACAGAAAAATCCAGAGTTATTGTACGTTTGCAATCTGTTTTCCTTTCGACTGTTATGTACGCCATAGACATGGGTATAGGTACGTATTGTCTCTTGTTGACTCACATGATGTTATAGGTACGTATATATTGTGTCTTGTTGATTCACATGATGTTATAGGTACGTATTGTCTCTTGTTGATTCACATGATGTTATAGGTACGTACTATCCCTTGTTGATTGATATAATCTTATAGGTACGTACTGTCCCTTGTTTATTGACGTGATTTTGTGTAAGATTAGACGTAACCTACATAGCAAACTGCATAAACCCGTCGTTATTATTCCCGTTGCAACAAAAACATATTACCTTAAATCCTAATTTATTTTTGTCGGTTATACGACTGTGGATAAAATTACAAGGTAAGGTCTTCAGACAACACTAGTGTTACCCGAAACATAGGTACAGTCATCATGGGTAAGGTACAATCATCTTTGGTAAGGTACAATCATCATGGGTAAGGTACAATGATCATGAATACGGTACAGTCATCATGGGTAAGGTAAGGTACGTCACTTAAAACAAGGCAAGAAATAACCTTTTTATGCAATACGTCCAGTCAGCAGAAATTATAAAAAAAACGCCAATGTACAATTAATAACATGATTTATTACAGTGTAAAACAACAATCACAAACATGGTAATACAAGAGAATCATACAAAAACAAACGTAACGGACTTGTAATGGACATTAAATATTAGACAGTATTATTATTTATATATTAAAGAATCAGTTTATATCACAAATGTTCCTTCAACACACATTCCGATGTCATGTGGGTCGAACTATTCTGGAAACTGCGATGATACCGGAATCTTCTACTCTATCGCGATTTACTTACTATAATCATGAAACGAACGTGATACGAGTTATCTACGATGAGTTAGACGTATTACCGAACATTCACAAGTTATACAATAATATAAGAACTTATATCTAACTATGCAATGAAAGAATTTAAACACGAAACTTCAGATCAAATCTCCACCATTCCGCTAGATGTCATGCCTCTGTCGAAACCCCAGCATCACGTGGGAACCAGCGCGCGCTCGTCTTGATTAACAAGTCTCTAAATTCTGCAACAATGTTAGCAGACGAATAATGACACAACTTAAGTAACAACAATGAACTGAGCAGCCTCTGGTTCTTTTTTTAATTTTATGAATAAAAGTAAATGGATTGTGATCTGTACATACAATTACAGGATATAAAGTTGTTTCCACATAGAAATCAAAGTGTTGCAGAGACAGTATTAATGCCAAGCATTCTGTATCAATGGTAGAGTAATTCTTTGGATATCTATTAAATTTCTTTGAAAAATAACATATAGTATGTTCAATGTCATTACAACATTCTGAGACAAAAATATACCTGTTACTATATCACTTGCATCTACCGAAAGTTTAAACTGTTTAGTAAAATCTGGTGTACTAAGAATTAGCATCGCGTTCGTTAATAAATCTGTCATGGTATTAACAATAACTGAAAAATTTGGACAAAACTTCCCTTAATAACCAGCCATATCTAAAAATCTCATCATTTCTTTCCTATAATTCGGCTGAGTAAAATCATCAATAGCTTCAACTTTTGCTTTAATAGGTTGTACTTGTCCTTGACCTACAATATGGCCTAAGTAGTCTACAGTAGCATGACAAAATTCACCTTTAATGAGATTTACAGTTAATTTAGCATCAAATATTTTTTTAAATAAAGCATCTAACTGATTCAAAAGCTGTTCCCATGTATCACTATAAGTAATAATGTCGTCAATATACCCTCACAATTTTGTAAATCGGCAATAATTCCGTTAACTAAGCTTGGAAAGGTACTGGTGCGTTTTGCATACCAAACAGTACGGTACATTCATCATTGGTAAGGTGCAATCATCATGGATAAGGTACATTCATCATGGGTAAGGTACAATCATCATGGGTACTGTACAATCATCATCACGAATAAGGTACAATCATCATGGGTCAGGTTCTATCATCATGAGTAAGGTACATTCATCATGGGTCAGGTTCTATCATCATGAGTAAGGTACATTCATCATGGGTAACGTACAATCATCATGGGTAAGGTACATTCATCATGAGTACGGTGCAATCATGATGTGTAAGGTACAATCATCATGTAAATGTACAATCATCATGTATAAGGAACAATTACAGTGGGTAAGATATTGTTTAGGTGTTACTAATTTGATCAAGGAGAAAAATCGACTAACAAAATATAATAGGGTCTTCACATGGTCTGTTTTATATAAGCAAGCTAGAATAAACAGGTTTATATGGTTCATACAGTCGTTCAATTAACTATATACCTATGGTATTTCAGAGAGCGGAAACGATAGTATGGTACGTCAGAGTACTTTGCCTAACGCGGAAGCTGACACTAGAACAATACAATCTACATGGTCTTACGAAGAAACCGACAATGAGTCAAATCAATCTACATGGTCTGACGTAGAAGCCAACAATGGGACAACACCAACTTCTCTGTCATCCCATGGGTATAAAAGCAGGATATACCACCAAACAACGGAGGGGACACATGTTTCAAGAGATAACACACAGAGTATGAATGAAACTAACGGGTTAAAAGGTGGGCAAGGTGCCAGTCGATTAGATTCCATTGATATTATTATGATCAGTACTGGTGCAGTAATATCTCTACTTGCTGTCGGCTCTAATGCTCATTTGTTTCAGCAGAATCATTGACAGTTGCCATTCGTTAGAAGAGTTGTTCGTAGAGCCGCTTTTCCGTCAAAATTTCGGTCATAGTACACAACATGGTTTATGCACGTCTAAATATCCCCTCTTGATGATCAAAAGTAGGACGTTAAACTCCATTCCATTCATTCATCTATAATCAACCAGAAATGTTTTAGAATGTGTTAATTATTTTACAGGATGGACCGAGATATATTTTGTGGATGGCGACAGTTTATTTAAATTTAACTTGAAGTCTGAAACCAAAATAAAACTTTTAACTGGGACAAAATTCGCTCGGGATATATTGGTAGATTCAAGACGGAACACGTTATACCTGGCCGTTAACAATTCTGTGAAAAGTTTCAAAACTGATGGTACAAATTTAACAGACCGTACAACATTATTCAAATTTGACTATGGTAAATACACATATTCATTAATCACAAACTAAATATTGGTATTCATAAATCAAGTTTATGTGTATGTAAAATATGTAAATAATATATAGATTTGAAATTGACACATCCGTAAACGATATAAAAATAAAAGTATGTCAACATAAACTCATTTCAACACTGGTTTAATAAAAATTGAACACTGTTAAGTATTTTGCACTCATCCGATTGAGGGGCTTTTCAAAATAATCGCATTGTATAGAAATGGACAACTGTTTTAAAGTTACAATTGTCAAAGTTAAGATTGTCTATGGTTACATAGGTGATATAAATAAAAGAGAACCTATACCCAATATCAATATTTTGATATTGATTGTCAAAGCTTTATTTATCCCAATTTTTATTACCTCGATTGGGTAATGCTGTTTCAATAAATATCTGTTTAGCTTAACTAATCTGAGAATCCTGACGTCTTCATCTATCACAATTGTGCATATTTTTCTAGCTAAAATAAATGTTATAATATTTTTGGTGTTTCTTCACACATTCAGCCGATGTGACAGCACATCCAGTATCCAAGGTCTAGGTCTTCGTGTCTGTCAATGAAATGTCAACGTGTTAACGAAACTAAACTGACTACAATCATTTAAAAGTAATAATGGAAATAGAACAAAATACAAATTCAATATTTAAGAACTAATTTATATAAATTATCATTTTTACATGTGTAACTAGTCAGTTTAACATGCGCAAGTAAGACGTTCCATGCATGTGCAGAGAATAGGTCGTTAAACGCGAATTCATTACATTAAATTTATTTCAGATTATTTACATTTCCGATTTGTAATTGTCCATGAGTACTTGTATTATACTAACGAGAAACATCTAAAGAAAGTAAAAGTAGATACCAGAATGCCAACAATCGAAACAGTCAAGATATTTAAGGGAAACGTCAACTATATGGAACTTCATACAGACATCGATAACATCAAATGGTAAATACTGGTTTATATTATGAATTGTTTTAAAGGAATGGGACAAATGGTATAACACATTCGCGTTAGATCAAAAGGTCTGGCATTGAGACAAGTGGCAAGGTTTCGACTAGCCGCTTGTGGGTTTTCTCCGCATCCTCCGTTTGTTAAAGACCTTCCCACCCCCTCGCTCCTCCTGTCGCTCTCGAATATTTACACCAAGTCTAGATTATTTCTACACCCTATGTCTGGACTGATAGTTATAATGTTCTATTTCTAGACGGATTAGTTATAATGTTCTGTTCCAAGACTGATAGTTATAATGTTCTATTTCTAGACGGATTAGTTATAATGTTCTATTTCTAGATAGTTGTAATGTTCCATTTCTAGACTGATTAGTTATAATGTTCTATTTCTAGAATAATTAGACTGTTGTATTTCTAGACTGATTAATTATAAGGTTATAATGTTCTATTTCTAGGCTGTATATTTTAACAGAATACGAAGTTCTGGTAAAATGTACCCTTGATGCCCTTCAATGTGTTTCTATAAAAGTATTTGAACATGTTTTAGTTCAGATGTTCATGTTTTATGGTGAGTTATTTATTCTTACATTACATCTAGAAATATGAAATTTATGTTTTTGTTTGTTTTAAAGTTTATTAAGCGCTTCCTCTAATGTGGTCTAAATGTTAGGGTATGATGCGATGGATTTAATTTCAGAAGCTAAATGTTCTGGCCAACAAATCCTACACGAGGAAGTAAATGGAAGTCGTGGGATTTATCTATTGGCTTTCGGTGGATAAGATGTTGTCAAACATGTATTTATTGGTTGCCCTTTTATTTCTGAACATATTTTAAAGCCAACCCATATTTCTTCACTACTTCAATATAACGTTTGAAGCTATGCCCGAAAGCTGCCATCTCCCTAAGCTCGAAAGACCCAAAACATCCACGCTAATTGTTCTTCAATACCTACACACGAAACTTGCAACTTTACACAAAGCACATACCTCCTGAAATACCCAGACCTCCCAAAATACCTCCACTTAAATCAGCTAAAACTTATACCCAAAGCCCCAAAACACCTACACCTAAAGCTCAAAAATATCAACACCCAACCCTCCCAAAATACCTAAACCCACACCTTCTAAAATATCTACACCCAAGTACTCTAAAATACATCGACTCAAGTCTTCTAAAACTTATATCCAAACCCTCTAAACTACTTTAAATCATTTAAAACCTATACCCAAACCTTCTATAATACCCAAACCTTCTATGACACCAAAACCTAAAATACCTACACATAAACCTTCTAAAAAAACCTATACCCAAATCTTCTAAAATACCCAAACCTTCTAAATCTTCTAAAATACCCAAACCTCCTAAAATATCCAAAACATCTAAAATACCCAAACCTCCTAAATAAATATACCCAAACATTCTAAAATACCTGTAACCAAACCTTCTAACATACCTCCACCCAAATCTCCTAAAAAACTGCACCCAAACCTTCTAATATACCTCGACCCAAATCTCATGAAGTTCCAATACCCAAACCTTCTAAAAAAAACCTGCACTTAGGTCTTCTAAAATACATATGCCTAAACCTCCTAAAATAACTATACCCAAACCTTCTAACATACCTCCACCCAAAACTCATGAAATAAATTTATCCAAACCTTCTAACATACCTCCACCCAAATCTCATGAAATACATATACCCAAACCTTCTAAAATAATTATACCCAAACCTTCTAACATACCTCCACCAAAACCTACTAAAATACCTATACCCTAACTTTCTAAAATACCTATACCCAAACCTCCTAAAATACCTTTACCCAAACCTAATAAAAAAACCTATACCCAAACCCCTAAAATATCCACACATAAACCCCCTAAAATATCTACACCCAAACCTTCTAAATATCTACACCCAAACCTTCTAAATTACTACCACGAGAACTTCCCCACCTGAATAAAGACAGGTAAGACAAACAGGCAACCGAGACCTTTGTAAGGTCTTATATGTTTGTAAATCACAATTTAACTTATTACTGAATAAAGATGTTTTTTTTATAAACAACATATGTTTTAGGTTTGCATAGCATTGTACTACACCGCTCTGATAGCCTGATAACCTTCCATCTAAATGACTCAAGTACGGAACGAATTGGACACAATTTTAGACGTCTTGAGAACTTTTATATTCTGGGTCAGCGTTTATTCTATCGTGAACCTCATCAGTAAGTAGTTCTGTATTTACAGCTTATCTTTGGCACACAGAATGCTATATTATAGTGCTCTATTTACTGTTCTAATACTCTCTCTCTCTCTCTCTCTCTCTCTCTTCAACCAATGTATAGACAACACATCTTGTTCATTTTGGGGGCTGATCCAAAATTTACGTTTCAGCGCATTACAAACGATTATGTATTCTGAACTTCAAATGGGGCTGATTTCAAATAAAGAGTTATTTGTCCTTTTTTTTAAGGATTTCAGTATTTGATTTAAAAACAGAAAAATCCAGAGTTATTGTACCTTTGCAATCACCCGGCGATTCCATTCTTATCTACGCCATAGATATGGGTATAGGTACGTATTGTCTCTAGTTGATTTACATGTTATAGGTACGTATTGTCTCTTGTTGATTCATATGGTGTTATAGGTACGTATTGTTGATTTACATAACATAAACCCACATTTATTATTCCCTCTCATTGATTGTCTGTCCCCTAGGTCAACCATTATTCCTATCCTTGACACTGCTACCAAACCTTTTATCAGTTGCAGACAATAATAATCAAGAAAAGCTATAAAGGCTCATCCTGTGACATTATGAATCGCACAGACTATATCTCTCAGACAGCTAAACAGCTAAACAACCCTAACAAAATACACGAAATTGGACCAAGACATCTTTAAAGACAGCGTAACCTTAATAAACAACATCTTATATGAACTGCGAGGCAAAGAATATATGATTATTTATTGCTAAATCTGACTGCCGACATCGACAATAAGGACGTCGATATTTGACTATAATGCGGACTTCGATATTTTGGACTTTTTCACTTACATAACGTTGTGTATTATTACTAGTCAGGTCAATATATGGAATATAGCCCCTCAGCCCCCCCCCCCCCCAAATTGCTACAACAGGTTTCTCAACTGATTCTGGTAGGGTTTAGTGTACTTTATAACGTACTAAAAGTTTACCAAAGTAGGACCCTTGGAAAATAGTGGGGTTTTTTCAAGATGGCGTCACAAATGGTCACGAAACATCTTAAAATGATCATAACAATGTAACTGTCAACTCAAATTTGATGATATTTGTATCTTTCCCTAGGTTGTGGAGGGCAAAAGAAATCTTATTAGACGATGCGTGCAACGAGTTGCTCTTTGTACATGTCTACTCGGGCTTTGATTCAACTTCAAGGATTTTAGGCATCGGAAAAAAGTCCGCACACCGGAAATTAGTGAAATCTGACCCTGTCCTGAAGTCCTGTGCTAGTGCATTCACCCTTCAAAACAAATTTCAAGGGGACATATCAGATCTTTGCAGGCAAAGACCTGATGGTTGATCTATCATCACTGTGCCATATCATTTTTACCAAGAAAGTGGCAACTGCTGAAGCATCTGTCATTCCTTAATTAACGGCTTCCCCCAACATCACCTGCAACAAGATTTCATAGGCAACGTGTGTACTGTCAAATTATGGTATGGATGGGGATGGCAAATGAAATGGACCCAACTGAATACGGATGGAAGCAGGAAAATGGTCGGTTGATTTTAATCATGACCCAAAACAATGCTGCGCCTAGCGAACTCTTGAAAATTATCCATTACAACTGTTCGGGGGGATGCAAGTACTTTCGATGCAGCTGCACAGGCTATGGACCCCCGTACACTGCTGTATGTGGCCCTTGTCAAACTGAAAACTGTAACAATTCAAACAACCTTCAATATTTCGATACTGAGGTGGAGGATGACACTCAAATCTGAACGCTCTGAAGCGTATTCTGTTGACAGGGGTGTTTGTGCATTAGGTGATAGTGGACACTTGAAGGTCATGGATTCAATTTCGTAATGATTGAACAACTCAGTGACATCCAAAGTTGTCTTAATATGTTCCTTGTCTCCCAAAACCTGGGGATAGACATCAAGATCATCAAATTTGAGTCAACAGTTATGGACTTGTGGTCATTTGGAGGTGTTGACGGCCATTTTGACATAATAGGCCAACACCATTTTTAATGATCTTAATGAGTTCTTTGCCCCCAAAACCTAGGAATAGACCCAAAGATCATCAAATTTGAGTTGATAGTTACATAATTATGATCATTAAGACGTTTCGGTGGCCATCTTTGACGCCATCTTGGAAAAAAAACTTTTCCGGGGTCCTACTTTGTTAAACTTTTAGTATGTTATAAAGTACACTAAACCCTGCCAGAATCAGTTGAGAACCCCTTTGTAGCAATTATTTTTTTTTTTTGGGGCGGGGGGTGGGGTGTTAAACTGTATTTTGACCTGACTATACTATAATTAATCTGTAGAAAATATTATGTTTATATAAAAGTTGCACATTACTAATACAAAATTCACTAGTGTTTATCTGTAATTATGTGTTTATATAACAGTATCACATTATTTATACAAAGTTCACTATAACAATATCACATTGCTAATACAAAACTCACTGAACCAATTATAGTATCTGTATTCCAGAGAATGGTGACGTATGAGTTATAATGTTCACGGGTAAGGTACGATGCTCATATCTATGACTTCAAATGGTCTGTTTTATATAATCAGGCTAGAATAAACAGGTTTATATGGTTCATACAGTCGTTCAATTAACTATATATCTATGGTATTTCAGAGAGCGGAAACGATAGCATGGTACGTCAAACTACATGGCATAACAACATAGAAGCTAACAGTGGTACAATGCATTCTACATGGTCTGACGTAGAAGCCGATAATGAGACAACACGATATACTGTGTCATCCCATGGGAATAACAACAGTTTAAACCTTGATCATTTACAGCCTAAAGATTTCAGTCGATTAGATTCTAATAATATCATTATGATCAGTACTGGTGCAGTAATATTTATAGTTGCTGTCATCGCATTTTGGATTGGTTACAAAAAATGCTTGAGAAATCGAAGAGCGCGCAATGTTCAACGGATGGTACCAAAGAGTAAATTGTAAAGGCCCAATGATTAGATGACGTAGTGGTAACCACAGGTTAGCATAGTGTACCACTCGTGTAATATTATATTAACAAAATTCAAAAGGCCCACAGATTAGACAGCTTAGTGTTAAAGACCGGTCAGCGTAGTTTACCTGTGGTGTAATTTTATGTTAGCGTATCGTCAAACACTCTTTGTTTCTGCAATTTATATATTAGGAAACCGCATCGTACACTAACAATTACACATGACAAACCTATAGACAGGAAAGAATATACACACACCAAAAACAACAAACCTATAGATCAGATCAAGTGAATGGATCCGGGCGTTTGACGTAGAGCCTTTAGTTATAAATACTTTATTCAAAAACACGCCTAACAATAGGTGAAGCAACTTAACACAAAGGGAAATATTTCCCGAACGTTGTGATGCTGGGGTTGTGTTAAATATCGATATTTCATTCGATGTTATCCAAATATTAACTTTAATAAAAATCAAACAACTGTTCCGTATCAGATCTGTATTTAGAAAAAAAAAGAACCCACATTGAACTTACCAGGGTTTTTTTTCTTGTTTTTGTTTATGATTCCATCAATGAAACTAAAGTTTTCACAAAGAAAACCACTAATCCCGGGGGATTAAAATAAATGCATTTCATTTCGGCTGGTGTAAATGCTAAGATCAATTAGTTTATAGGATTGGCAAGCTGCACTAGGACCCCAAGATTATTGCAAAAACCTTGAAGTGACCTCATCTTGTATTTCAACCCAGGCCGCTTGTCCTACCTTCTTTACCGTAGATAAGCCACTCCCTACCTCCACCTACCTTTATATCAATTTTAGATTCATCATTTTACTTCAAGATTCTTTCCCGAAAAGGTATTTACCGGGTGGTTATTTCCAATAAAAGTATGGTAATTTTGGTATGTATGGAAAGTAGCGACGTGAAGTTAGCATGTGGTTCGTTGTTGGTTGATCGGTATTCGCGAATAACGGAAAACGCGCCAGTTTGTTGTTCGGTATTCACGATTAACGAAAAACTAGCTACTTTGTTGTTCGATTATTCGCGAAAAATGAATAGCGAGCTAGTTTGTTGTTCGGTATTCGCGAATAATGAAAAACGAGCTAGTTTGTTGTTATTCACCAGATTTGGAATTAGTAATATAATAAAGATACGTTTATAGCAAATACGCCGGAGGTGGGTTTTTATGAACATAATTGGTGTATAAAAAACTTCAAAGTCTTGGGAAATAGAATCTAACATTCTGTCTTTCTACTCGAACAACAAGCTGTATATGTTAGCGATTTTATCCTCATGTACTAATATGTGAGAAGTGGGTAATGATGAGAACAACAAACTATGAACCAATGTGAATTACCAGATATTTGAAGCCACTGAACCAGTTCATTTCCAGGACACCTAATTAACCGAAAATGTCACAAGCAACCCAGAAAATGATTATGGGTGAGATACAATGAATATTGGCAGGGTGCAATTATACAATGACCGTATGGGTAAGGTACAATTATACAATGACCGTATGAGTAAGGTACAATGAAGGGGGGTAAGGTTTTGTCGAACGACAAAAAGTATGTGTGACTTCAAGGACTAACAAAATATAATGTTGTCTTATATATTCAGGCTGAACAAAACAGGATTAAATGATTCATTAAAATAAGGACAGTTGCTGAACTAACGGTATATCTATAATAATATATATAGCGGAGACGATAGTGAACAATCACACAATGCGACAACGCGAGGGGTTTCTAATGATGGGGAAGAAATCAGTCTATTAGATTCAAATGATATCATTACTGGTGCAATATTATTTATCTTTGCCGTCGTCGCATTTTGTATTGGATACAAGAAATGCTTTAACTGTTCAACGGATGGTACCAAAGAGTAGTTTGGAAAGGCCCACAGATTAGATGACGTAGTGTTAACCATAGGTTAGCATAGTGTACTACTAATGTTAACGCAAAGTCAGGACACAGAGACGACAATCAAAAAACTATACTATGTTAACAAAATATTCAATTTATGTGAGTTACAGTCTGTGATGTTTGAGTTGTGAGTGTGTAGTGTTAGGGTTGTGAGTGAAAATTTGTGATGTTGGGGCTGTGAGTGAGTGATAGTCTGTGATGTTGGGGTTGTGATAAATATTAATATATTCGCTTTAGCGAATCACGGAGCTCTGCAATGGAAAAATGAACATTATAGCATTCATCATTGCGGGACTTGAAATTAAGTCGCCTTTTCTCCTGTTGCCGTTTAATGCCTCCTCGAAAGGCATCAGAGGAGAAATTGGATGATGAATTAAATGAATTTGTAATGGCCAGAGAATTAGCAATATCAGGAAATGTTGTCAAGGTGGTATTATCAACA